ATGCCGATTGGGGAGGATGCCCCGACACCCGCCGTTCCACTTCCGGGTATTGCATTTTTTTGGGAGATAATCTTATTTCTTGGTCATCTAAACGCCAAGCTATCATATCCCGTTCTAGCGCCGAAGCCGAATATCGTGGCGTGGCAAATGCGGTAGCCGAAACATGTTGGCTTCGTAATCTTCTACTTGAGCTTCGTCACCCTCTCTCCCATGCATCCCTCATTTATTGTGACAATGTTAGTGCTATCTACATGTCTCATAACCCGGTCCAACATCAAAGAACCAAGCACATTGAAATGGATATTCACTTCGTCCGAGAACGAGTTTCACTTGGTCATGTCCGTGTTCTCCACGTTCCTTCCCGCTTCCAATATGCTGACATCTTCACAAAGGGACTTCCACGGGTTCTTTTTGACGAGTTTCGCTCCAGTTTGAACGTACGCTTACCCCCCGATCAAACTGCGGGGGCGTAATAGCATACATCCTACGTATGCATGGGCATGCATATGTATGTATCACATGGCCACACATAGTACTTACGCATTTATCTTATTATTTAATATGTATAGTATTATCCCATTATTGTTGCTATGCTCATCCGCAAGACTCTTGATAAGTCCGTATTTAGACACGCATTTGATGCGTGTTGGGATTGGATTTTGATGGTTTTCCTAGATTTAAGGTGTTGCAAGTCTTAATTTTAGCTCAAGTTATGTTTAACATGTGTTGGTTCGAGTTTTGTTGCATTTGGAGTCAAAATGAGGAATTTAGAGTTCAACATCGGCACTTGAGGAGCAATCGGGATGATTCGAGATGCATTCGAGAGTGGATTGAGGGCTTTGGAGGTCACCGGGAGGTTCACGATGAAGATTTGATGACAAAAGAGCTCTAGGATTGGCTATGGGATCAAAAGAAGAACAATGAAGCTGGAAAAACGACGATCAGGATGACCTTTGGTCAATCGTTCAAGCATATCTCTTTGTAGAAGCATCCACAGGACACGATTCAAGTTGCATATGAAAGCCAACTTCAAGGGCTACAAATCATATGAAGACACCATTACGAGAATATGAGAGAAAGAAGGTGAAAACAGACGATGAAGTCAGATGATCTCTGTTGCGATTTCAGAATGACACCTTCCACCATTTTGGTCATATCTCTTGATTGGATGATTCAAATCACATTCGGCAAGTTGGGGTGGATAGAGGACTTCATTGTCTACAACTTTCATGAAGGAAGTTTTGTCAAATTCGGACTAGAAAAAAGGCTGAAGAGCACGGACGCACGATCGTGCGTAAAAGGACGCACGATCGTGCGTAAGAGCCAAAAACGCGGCAACAATTCTGCCTGATACGCACGATCGTGCGTGGCAAGGTACGCACGATCGTGCGTACACCCGAGACGCGGATTTCAGCCCTTTTTTAGTCCCAGTTCAGCCCAAACTCATCTGTTTTCTATAAATAAGACCCCCATACCCATATTTTGACGTTACGAACATTACGGAGAGGCCTAGGGACGAATTTAACACCGTTTTTACGCTATTTTCTTCCAAGACCCTGGGATTATTTGTAAGTTCATCTTTTTAATTAATGACAATTTATTCTATTCATCTCAATTCTGTTGATTCTTCAATTATGAATTGTGAGTAGTTTAATTAGGGATTTGGGATTGATGAAGGGGTTAATCATGATGTATGGCCAGATTCTTGTCGGTTTAATTGCATGAATGCCGTTTAATTTGTGTATGAATAATTTAATTGATATCTCTTGTAACCTAGATGGCCACTAGAATTACAATTGCTTATAGAATAAATTAAGAGAGATCTAATTTGTTCTAGGACACATTCACACACACTTAATCGTTCGCTAAGAGATTAGTAGCGATTAAGGGGCCGTAAGCTCGCTCGTCTTGGCAATAATTTAGGATCTTGTCGCATGAGAGATCAGCCTGGTCCCCTAAATTATTGTACTCTACGCCGCGAGAGCGGTAAGAACTTAGTAATGATTAGCTAGGCTCAATTAAATTAAATTCATGTAATTAAGCCTGATCTGCCAGAAATCTGGTTACCCCGGAATCAATCCCTGTTCCCTTCGTCGTTAATTGAGAAGAAACCACTTTTATTTTAATCGTTCATCTGCATTAGTTTAATTTTAATTCACCAATCAATCTCGCACACTTGCATTTATTTATTTTATTTCTTTTTAATCGCTGAATTTAGTTAATCTTTAATTCCCTTTTGTCCGTCCCTGTGGAGACGATACTCGTACTTTACACCACTTTTCTACAACCATTTTAAGTGCGAGAAAACTCACATCAGTTTTTGGCGCCGTTGTATACCAAACGTAGATACGTAGATTAGTCATTCACGAATGTATCTTGTAAAGAGATAAGCTTTGTACAGTTGTATATATATTCAATGAATGGAAAGATAGCGACACGGGAAATTATACATTCCAACTTAAACCATTACTTTCATCACAATATAGGAGGTTTGATGCTCAATGAAAATGTCATGACGTCCAACTAACAAACCTTAATTACGATTTTCATATTTATGCACATTTTGAAAGTTGTGTACGTATGCTCATTTGATACTGCTATCATGCTCATTTTTAAAATGACATATCAATGCATATTTCAAAAGTATCATATTACATTAAATTCGCATATTGAAGTTTATCGAAGTTGATTATATATATATAATTTAATGAGTTTTTGTAATAGATAAAAAAAGAAAAAAAGAAAGTGAATTACAATATATGAAATTGGTATCACAATACTCATTATTCGACTCTTAATACTCATTCGAATACGTTTGATGCTCATTAAAAGTGTATTAATGATCATCTAACGAAAAACGCGATTTCACTCAAATTACGAAAATGCCACCATTTTTTAGTTGTGATATCGGCTTTCTTGTAATAACACGGTACTCATTATTAGACTCTTAATACTCATCAAAATGGGACTATTGCTCATTAACAATACACAAATGCTCATTTAGCAGAAACCACAATTTTTACATTAATTACAAAATTGCCTCCGAATTATTTTTCTATTTTTCTATTGGGTTTGTAACTGGGCCGGCTGTACGGTGAGCACCGTATAGCCGGTGGTACCATATACGAACTCATAATGGAACAATCAGAACTATTCTCAATTTTACAGTGGACCCTATAAAACTACTCGAAATTTCTAATTCGTCTATGGTACATATTGATGATGGAATGGCAAAAAGTTAGCTTACTTTTCCCTTCTGATCAACACATCACATTTAGGAATGTATATAAATAAAAAGTTCACTCAAAGTTAGAATTGTTCTTTCAAATTATGTTTAGCGGTTCGATCTACAAAATCATCAAAGGGCATTCGACTATTTTATCTTTTACGACAAAATTTCTTTACATAATTACGCTTGTACACACGTGAGTTTCAAGATAGATTATCGCCTCCTACTATACGGACTATCATTTTGCAAGCTAAGACATATTAGATCGCTTATAAAATGTCATTCTATATATATTAGATATATGGAAAAAGTGATGAATCTTAATTAATACAACAAGACATAATCTAATACACCGTGAGATATTTATCAGCTACATTCAAATTAAATATTGGCAAATACACGTACTAATACGTTGTGACAGTGGTGATATATATACTTACCGTAATTGTGATTAAAATGATAATATTCTTTTTTAGTATGCAATAACAATAACAATGATTATTTTTTAGTAACTGACTGGCTACTCATACTTTCATCTACTTTGTTTACGAAAGAACCTTATTCTTATCGATAACTTTTGTGATGCTCGATCATTCTTGCTAATTCATGCTCAATTTGATCTTTTTGGGGTTGTTATACTTGTTATGTGTTATACATCGTATAATAATATATACTTGTCTCATTTCTTTTCCAAAACTAAATTGCCAATAAACCCCATTCACCTCTAATTAGATCAGATCTCCACCATATATACTTTTCTAAACTATAAAAACTAAATTCCAAGCTAGATGAATTCACCATATTGGGAATGTGCACATCATGGCCACTCATTTATATGCAATTGTGCATTATACAAAAACCCAGGGGCGGAGCTAGGGGAGGGCCAACCTGACCCTGACCCAAATCAAATTTTAAACATGTCTAAATTTTTAATGTAAAAGATTCTGTCTAAATTTTTTCCAAAAATATTCTTTGTATCCCTGGCTCCGCCCCTGCAAAAACCTATCTATATACCCCTCACTAATCACTTCTCTTCTAATTGTCATTGTCTTAATCCATCCGTCATTCGTGCATGGGCAATCTCAAAGCACTTAACGAAAAGTTACCAAAGCTTGAATTGGGATTTGGGACTAAACTCTAAATGTAAATTATACTCTCACAAACGCCTTTCTATGCGTTCATGTATAGAGATGATTGAGACTCATATAACATCAAAACACACTAGCCTTTATTAGATCAGATCAGATTAAATCAAATCAAATTACAAGAGATCAGATCAATCAAATCAAAACAGACTTCCGTGATTATAAAATACACATATACTAAACATTTATACATTTGCAATACAATTATTGATACATATTTTCACAATAACTTTTTCATTCACATAAATGAACTTTCACGAGCACAAAAATGTTAACATAACATTTTTTATACACAAAAAGAATGTTGATTTATACGGTACAGTATTTTGGTACGGTACCTGCATATACATGAAATTTCACAAACATAATAATTTTTTGGCTATACTTTCTCATATACGTAGTATTATCTTTTCTGTTGAATGCCAACATCCGATCCTACTAATAAAATAATTAAAATTTTCCAAAATACGAGTGAGCTAGTCCTATTATTAAAATAATTAAAATTTTCCAAAATAATGACCGGCACCTATTTGAGAAATTAAAATGTGCTATTCGCCTATTCTTATTCTTAGCTTATATCTGGTGTGTGCATCAATTAGATGTTTGGTGTGTGCATCAATTAGATGTTTGGAATTCAACGTATCAATCTTATTTCTCTCAACGTGTATAAATACACTTTACATTTACAATTGAACGTGTAAAGATAAGAATGTAAAACTGATTAGCAAACTATAAGCCTATCACTACATGTGCGGCGTAGGAAAGCTATACGAGTGGATCAAATATAATTCTAAGTCAAACTATTTTGAATGTACAACAATAATATACTATTAGTACGGAGGTTCACTGCATGTGGACATATGAGTTCCGAATTGCATGTATGCGACATGCATGTGCCATGCATGCGTTAACACCCCCCGCAGTCAAAGCGGGAGGTGCCCGAATGCTTAGACTGGTCCGGAAGTCCTCAAATAAAACGCGCGGAAGGCCTTTGGTGAAGATATCGGCGAACTGGTGCCGCGAAGGAACATGAAGAACTCTGACCTCCCCACGGGCAACCTTTTCTCGGACGAAGTGAATATCCATTTCTATATGTTTTGTTCGGTGATGTTGAACGGGATTGCCGGACATATAAACTGAACTTATATTATCACAATAAACCAATGTAGCCTTGGATAGAGGACATTTAAGTTCTAAAAGGAGATTTCTTCACCAACATGTCTCCGCAACGACATTGGCTACTCCCCGGTATTCGGCTTCGGCACTTGAACGGGAAAGGGTAGGCTGGCGTTTGGATGACCAAGATAGGAGGTTGTCACCGAGGTAGACACAGTAGCCCGAAGTTGACCTGCGGGTGTCCGGACAGCCACCCCAGTCCGCGTCAGAATAGGAAATCAAGCTATCAATGGGTGACGGCCGTAGATGAAGACTGAAACGAAGAGTGCCTTTAACATACCTAAGAATCCGCTTGAGGGCATGTAGATGAGGGGCACGAGGGTCGTGCATGAATAGACAAATCTGTTGAACGGCGTAGGAGATATCGGGACGTGTAAACGTGAGATATTGGAGAGCGCCGGCCAAACTGCGGTAAAGAGTGGGCTCTTCGACGGGTGGACCGGCAGTTGCACTGAGCTTGGAGTTGGTGTCAACTGGGGTAGCTACGGGATTACAATCAGAGAGGCTGGCCCAAGAGAGGATTTCACCGGCATATTTGGCTTGATTAAGAAAAATACCTTGTGGGTGACGAGTGACAGCAATTCCCAAGAAATAACTAAGAGGTCCAAGGTCAGTCATAGAGAACTCAGCAGCCAAAGTTTGAATGATGGAGCAACGAAGATCATCGGAGGAGGTAGTGAGGATGATATCGTCCACATATAACAGAAGATAGGCTGTGTGGTGATCCCGGTGATATATGAATAAGGACGGGTCACATACACTGTTACAAAATCCAATGGTGGAAAGGAAAGAGGAGAACCGGTGGTACCATGCGCGGGGAGCTTGTTTGAGACCGTAAAGAGATTTGAGAAGCCGGCAAACATGATGTGGTTTGTTGGAGTCGCGGAAACCGGGAGGTTGATGCATGTAAACGGTTTCCTCTAAGTTACCATGTAGGAAAGCGTTTTTGACATCAAGTTGGTGAAGGGGCCAAGAGTGATGTAGCGCCACAGAGAGAACAGTCCGTATAGTTGCCGGTTTAACCACGGGGCTAAATGTTTCGTCACAGTCAATGCCTATTTGTTGTGATTTTCCGTTGACTACAAGTCGTGCTTTGTGTCGTTCAAGAGCTCCATTAGACCTGTATTTATGTTTAAAAAGCCAAAGACAACGAATGATATTGGTATTAGGGGGCCGGGGAACTAACTCCCACGTCCGATTTTTAATAAGGGCACTAAACTCGTCCTGCATGGCAGAAAGCCAATTTGGGTCACGTAAGGCAAGAATAGGGGATTTAGGAAGGGGCGAGGGAATTATGGAGGTCTGGGAGACGAGGGATATGGGGTGTTTTGGTTTGAATATACCCACCTTGCTACGTGTGACCATTGGATGATGTGAGATGATGGGAGGTGGTGAGTCACCTGGTGGTATGGGAGGAGTGGATAAGGGAGGGCTAGGTGGAGAGAATTGTGAGGTGGGAGGAGTGGGAGTTGCAGATGATGTCGGCTGGGCATGGGGTGGTGGGGTGGAGTTATTATTCTGGAGGTGAGATAAGAGGATAGGATTAATTTGATTTTGGAGGAAATTGTAAGTAGGTGGAGGTGTAGGCTCGGCCAGAGATTTATATGGGAATATGGTTTCATTAAAAGTGACGTGTCGTGACAAAGTAATTTGGCCAGTCTGGGGATTAAGGCAAATATAGCCTTTGTGGTGAGTGGGGAAGCCCAGAAAAATGCAAGGCGTGGACCGAGCATCTAATTTGTGAATGGTAGATGTAGGATGGTGCGGGTAGCATAAACATCCGAACACCTGAATGTGGTCATAGGATGGGGTTTTGTGGTAGAGAATGTGGGTAGGGGAGAGATTGGAGAGGGTGGAGGAGGGTAAGACGTTATGTAAATAAGTAGCCATTTGGACGGCGTGAGGCCATGGACCAAGTATGCCGGCAGCGGAGGAGGGAGGCCGAGAGCTGTGGTTTCCGGGCCACGCGGTGGATGGGTAGGGGCACGGCGGAATGCTCCATGGTGGCGGCCAGTAACCCCATGGGGGCATTTGCCACGGGTTGGCAGTTTGGGGTGCCGCTGGAGAACCGGAGGGACGGTTAAGACCACCACGTGAAGTGCCACGCCCCCTGCCGCGGTTGTGAGGGCGGCCAGGTGGAACATCCGGCCGTGGCACACCAACTGGAGCACCGGTATGAACCAAGGCAGTGGGTGAGGAGTTGTGTTGTTGAGCCTTCCTGGTTTCTTCCAGAAGGAGCATCGATCGGGCCTGGGAATATGGAGGAAGAGGGACAGTTTGTTGAATGAGAGAAGCAACCGAGTCATAAGCCGGAGGGAGGCCATTCACAATACGCAACACCAAACGTTGATTGTTGACGGGAGAACCGACGTTGGATAATTTCGTGGCCAGAGTTTTGAGAGCCTTGCAATAGGCAGCAATGTTAGGGAAGCTCTCCAACCGGGTATTGGAAAATTCGGTTTCGAGATGCAGCGCCCGAGTATTTTTGTTGTCAAGAAAAAGATCGGCCAAGCGATCCCATGCGGCTTTGGCAGTAGAGTCCGGCTCGAGAATAGTGTGCAAAAGATCATGGGATATAGTCCCATAAATCCATTGTAACACCATGGCATCAAGTCGTTTCCAAAGAGCCTCAGATTCGGCTTTGGCGGCGGCGGCGGCAAGAACTTGCTCCGGAGTTTGTTCTGGAGGTGGGTTGGTGGAAGTGGAAGCGGTCGAGGTATCCGTTTCATCGGGAAAGATGTGATCTTCAACCTGGTAGGCACGGGTTGTGATCTTAAGAAGTTCGGTCCAGGAGGAGTATTCCACATTCTCAAGATCGAGGGTAATTGGAATAAAACTTTTTATGTTGGTGAGAGCAAGAGCTGGGTGAAATGATGGGGATTTGGCGGAAGCCATAGGAGGAAGAAGAGATGGAGCGTCTGATACCAAATTAGATGTTTGGAATTCAACGTATCAATCTTATTTCTCTCAACGTGTATAAATACACTTTACATTTACAATTGAACGTGTAAAGATAAGAATGTAAAACTGATTAGCAAACTATAAGCCTATCACTACATGTGCGGCGTAGGAAAGCTATACGAGTGGATCAAATATAATTCTAAGTCAAACTATTTTGAATGTACAACAATAATATACTATTAGTACGGAGGTTCACTGCATGTGGACATATGAGTTCCGAATTGCATATATGCGACATGCATGTGCCATGCATGCGTTAACAGCATCTTGTGCTTCGTACATGTATGGATAATTTCCTTCTTTTGCCTTCAAGAATCTGGAATAATTTAAAAAAGAACGATTGGAAAAATTAAATGAGATTCCATGTGTAAATTACATTGAAAAGAAGTCTTGCATTCATACAAGAAGTTGTGAAGTACTTTGATTTAGGACTTTTGTTTTTTCTTTCATGTACTTTTTTTTATTTCTTTCATTCTCGCATTGTACTCTTATTTTATATCAATAAAAACTTGTTTCGCTTAAAAAAAAGTTGTAAAGTAATGCAATATTGAAAAAGAAGTCTTTCATCTATACAAGAAAAACGAGAAGACTCAAAATGATCGAGTTGCTGTCTCACAAGTTGCATTAAAAAAAATACATTGAATGAAATGAATGTGTTCAACTTAGTTCAAGTTAATTACATGCGTTCAAGTTCAATTGATTTCCAAATCCACCATCACAATTCACACAATAACATGAATATAATGTATCACAAGAACATGGGCGGAGTTAGGGGTGGGCCAAACTAGGCCATGGCTCACCCCAAATTTTAAAAGTGGCTTAATTTTTAATGTAAAAAAATTCGTGTAAATTTTTTTCTGAAAATATTCTTTGTACCGGCTCAGTCCGGCCCAGTGCCCTGGCTCCGCCCCTGCAAGAGAACCAATACTTCAGAAGCCACAACTTAAGATTACAAAAGGAATTACAATAATTTTAATTTACTACTACGTACGGAGTACAACATAATTAAAGAACTTTCTGAATTTGGAATTTCAGAAAAAATATATTCAACTCACGTCAATAAAAATGGGAATACGTGCAAACAGTTCACAACAGGCATGTTCACGGTCGTCATAATGTAAAATAAAAAACAAAAGGCAAAACTGTCAAATATGTTCTCGAACTTTCATAAAAAGGTCAAATAAGTCTTTATATGGGAGACTCTGTCTGGCCATCGCGATTTGGGGCGGTTCCTGATAGAATTTTTTGATGAAATATTTTGAGCATCTTATTCATCAAATCTAGTTTATTCATACCAAATTTCAGCTAAAACTTCAATTGAAAACGCATTCAAATTAATTCTTGAAGATAACTGTGCTGTTAAATGTGCAGTTATCTTCAAGAATTAATTTGAATGCGTTCCCGATTGAATTTTTAGCTGAAATGTGGTATGAGTAAACTAGACTTGATGAATAAGAAGCTCAAAAATTTTTATCAAAAAATTCAATCGGGAACCACCCCAAATCGTGACGGCCGGACAGAGCCTCCTATATAAGGACTTTATTTGACCTTTTTATGAAAGTTCGAGAACCTATTTGACAGTTTTCCTAAAACAAAACGTACAAGCACAACTATGAGCATATTAGGCATACTTTCTTATACTCCCTCCGATTTCAAATGAATTTCACACTTTCCTTTTTAGGTAGGTCCAAAATAACTTCACACTTCTTCTTCCTTCCTTATTTGGCAAAGGGAAAACTGTCAAATAGGTCCTCGAACTTTCATAAAAAGTCAATTAAGTCCTTCTATAGGAGACTTTGTCTAGTCGTGGCGATTTGGGGCGGTTCCCGGTGGAATTTTTTGATGAAATTTTTTGAGCATCTTATTCATCAAGTCTAGTTTACTCATACCAAATTTCAGCTAAACCTTTAATCGGGAGCGCATTCAAATTAATTCGAGAACGCAAAAATGCGCAATTATCTTCAAGAATTAATTTGAATCTGTTCCCGATTGAATTTTTAGCTGAAATTTGGTATGAGTAAACTAGACTTGCTGAATAAGATGCTAAAAAATTCATCAAAAAATTCCACCGGAAACTGCTCCAAATCACGATGGCCGGACAGAACCTCCTATAGAAGGACTTAATTGACTTTTTTATAAAAGTTCGAGGACCTATTTGACAGTTTTCCCTTTGGCAAATAATCTACATCAAAACAGTGCAAAACAGTGTCAAACAGTGTCACAACAGTGTACTCTACAGTAAAGTCAAATTTATTTCCTTAATCTGTGTGAAGTCAAACTGTGAAATTCATTTGGGACCAGAGGGAGTATACTTCTAAAATAAATATTCCCTACTAACATATATACTTGGAGAACCTTAATACTACCTCCGTTCTTTAATAAGTGCAACATGTTAAATTTTACACTATTCATATGTTGTACTTTGACTACGTTTAATTAAATAATGTATTGATATGTATTTAATTTCTTGAAAAAAATATTGTTAAATTTGTCTCATTCTAAATGTTTAAAATCTATTTTTTTTAATTTTTTTTACCGATAAAGAATGATATATATTAATGGTCAAAGTTGTGTCTCGACAAGTATGAAATGTTGGCCGTTGCACTTATCTAAGTGTGTAAAAACTGTAACGTTGAATTGAAACAAATATACACTTAATGGTCCATTCTTCTAAGGAATTAATTTATAATTATATTAATTGGACATTTAAATGATCCAAATTAATTTAAGAGAAAATTGGGTCTATGTACACACTTTAATATGTAACTTTAAGTTAATATCATGAGTTAGTAAAAATAAAGTAAATAGCCTCTAAATAAACACACGATTACATTATGTCCCTTTTAACCTTGCGGCAGTTTCCTTCTCTCTCATTATCCCGCTAAATTCGCACCTTTTCCCCACGAAAAGATCCGGCCTCTATATGAAGAAGGCATTGTTAACTCGCGGTTCTCAGCGATTTTCATGTCAGCAACAACACAACCCTAAATCCATAACAAAGGTAAAAATTTCCACTCTCAATTATATCTCTGTTTTTCAATTTCAATTTTCGACATGAAACTCTCAATTCTCAAGTCTGTAGAGAGTTCTTAACCCCAGTAGAGAATTGAACATCTACTACATACTATCATACGGGTTACTGATTTCATTTTCTCCTTGAGTATCTCTTCATAAGACTAATTTGGAAATATTTAGTTATATATATAAATCAATTAACCTATTATTTCTCAACCATAAAGACTGAAAAAGAAGTAGAAGAAGTTTAACATCCCCTGTTTTTTTATAAGCATGATAATACGGAGTATATTTTCCTATCAATCAATTAATTGATTTCAGGAAAACTAAGGACAATTTTATCTTCTTGTATGTTCCATTCTTAAATTCATTCTCCAAATGTGTAATTATATGCTTTCTTGCTGCTAATAATCACCATAAATTTGACATGTATTGTAAGTAGTCGGTAGATATATGAGTATATTTCATACATTTGTTATATGCAGGTATATAAATTGTGTATTTATGGGCTTCCTTAGCCTTGATATTTGTCACAGTGGAAAGTGGGATGTGAGTAATCGTTATGTTGGTGCTAAATGTTCAGAACTTGTTATTGATGATTCTATGAGCCTCAGTTCTCTACTTCTCTTATGGAGTTGATATATGTTTCTCTGAGTTTACATCGAACTACTGAACTAAGGTTGTTAGTATCATATGACGTGGGCAGTCCAACATTGACCATTTTGCATATTAAGCAAAATGAAGACTTGTGGTGGTATTTTGATGAATTTAAAAGTGGCAATTAGTGAAGTTCATAGTGCTTTTGAAAAAACTATACGTATCTTGGTTAACAAAGGAGACGTAGGTTTTTTTTTACGTTATCTCCAAACGTGAATATAGCCATAAGGAAAAGAAAATTAATCTCCAATATGAAGTAAAATAATTAATATGCTCTCCGTTCCCACATCTCCAGGCGGTAACGAACTATATTTAGGAATGAGGATATATATGGCATTAAATGTTTACCGACTTTATATTTATAAAAAAAGTGTTATATAGTTCATTACATAAAATAAATGCTATTAACTTCACATGACCTATTTTTTATGGTTATATAGCAATTTTTCCCTTAATTTAATCACTAAATTATTTCCGAATGAACCCACATTCATATTTTCCTTTTGATTAGGCCTAATAACCGTTACGAGCAACTCTAGAAGAATCTGACATTGATTCAATTCAAAAGAGGCATTTAAATGAGTTTAATAATACTATGGACTAGGGACAATAATAATTTCAAAGTATTAAATAATTTTTTTTTAAAGTAGGTCCACAGTGTTCATGCGTTATTTAGCCTCTTCTTTGTTAGTAACTTAGTACGTACTATGGCTTCCAGAATAATTTGTATGCCCGACTTTTTAATTATTACTATCGTATAAAATTGGCGAATGTCATGCCCGACTTTATTGAGAAACTGAACGAAATTACTAACAAACGAAAAAAAGCCTCTAATTGTTTTATTTTTCATTTCCCATTTGCCTTTCAATTCCCCGTATGCATGTGCCGAATGGTGCATTAGAGATAGCTATAGATTTTCCTTTGTCCACTGTTTGTAGTTGTAATTATCCTTTTGTTCATTAAATATGTGTACTGATTTGTAAATCCAAATTGTAGTAATTACTAGCTAGGAGGTGTTGGTATTCTCAAAGTGAATAATACTCGCTTTTTTTAACATCAACGAATGAATACTCTGCCCTTTTAACATCAACAATTCTATATTGTTACGTGATATAGAGCCGGCCCATCCCCAACCCCCTTCAAGATCCGATTTTGCAAGATAAAGACATTCTCTTTGCAATGAAAGATCGAATCAAAGGTTTTTCTATGCTTTTGCTCTTTTTCAATTTCTGTTTTCAAGGAATTTGGTCCGGCTTCTTCATTGGCCGAGAATTTTGTCCGCTTCATGTGAGCGTGTGGTATGTTATTCTCCTAGCAATGTCTAGAGGTTGTGCGTTTCTGATCAGTGTAATCGATCTGGTGAAGCTTTTTCAACCTTGTTGTTCTGATGTTTCAATTACTGCCCACCACCTGAACCACCGCCTCACTCTGGGAAGAAGATGATCAAGCGGATCTCCTTTT